TCACCACGCCCGACTAATTTTTTGTATTCTATAGTGAGAGATGGGGTTTCACCATGTTAGCCAGGATGGTCTCGATCTCCTGACCTCATGATCCACCCGCCTCGGCCTCCCAAAGTGCTGGGATTACAAGCGTGATTGATTTTATACAGCTTATTTTTGTTTCTGTTACTTTAGGGCCCTGTGGCCAACCAAAAAACAGACACAGAAATGAATTGGATTTTAGAGTTGAAAGTGTCCCCTAGTGATATTCTAGGGCAAGTTCCAGAGTATGCAGGAGAGCGCATGGGGTTTACAGTTAGACAAACCTAGATTCAAATGCAAGCTGTTATGAACCTCAATTTCCTTGTCTGAATGTGGAAATAATAGTTCCTTCTTCATGGAAAAAAATTAGTATACAGAAGGGCCTTGGTGCATTTGGAATGTTAAGCAAACATTAAGTGCCACTGTGATTAGCATTTGCTATGAGGTCTGGTGGTACACATCTTCAGCCTCCTGGCTCATGGTTCCTCTTCCTCCCACCTCAACCACTTCCCTTCGGAAAGTCTTTCATTTGACCTTGGATGCACCACTTATACTTCTTTACATCTCATTTTTCCTTCATCAATAAAGTAGGGGTGATCATGGCACCTATTTTACAGGGCTGTCAAGAAACTAAAATGAGGCAATCCATGTAAAAATGCTTGGCATAAAGGCCAACTTGTGGCAAAATACTCAAAAAATACTATCTGGTATAAGGAAACTGGTTTCCCCAGACCTGCCATGTGCATGAAGTGGCTGTGTATGGCCCGGCATCTCTCGCTAAGGTGTGGGCCTCTGTGGAGGCACCTGCCCTGTGTACCTGTCAAATGCACCATGGGAATAAAATGATACTCCTGAACGACGCTGAGCTGTGGGCCACCCTCTGCACCTCAATTCGCTCATTCCCAGCTTCTGAGGGTGGCAGGGCCCTCAGTGAGCAGAGTTAGGGTGTGTTCCGGCACCACACCTGCCCAGGTGCCATGCTGGCCAGAGGTTTTGTCCCTACATGAGGTACTGTTCCCACTTGAGGACCGTACCTGCATGAGCAGAACCATACCTGCCGGAGGCGCAAGCCCCTCGGGCGGCCTTTGGTCATGCTGAGTTCCCACACACACACCACGGTGCTGGTCCCAGAGGTGACGATCATTGTTGGGGACGGGCACACGGCGCACAGACAGCGGCCCCAAGCAGCCAGGTTCTCGAATGTCATCAGGATCTATGGGAGATAAGGGGGATTAGTGCTGCTGTGGAGACAGCAGGGACAGGAGCCCAGGATAGAGCCACAGGGGGATGTGGGCCAGTCTGAGTGCCTTGGGAACTGGGGACATGCCATGTGTTCAGGAGCCAGTCCCTGGTGACAAAATCCAGACCATCCCTGGTCCCCAAGGAGGAGCTCCTCCTCCAGCAGGTGGGAAGAGACAAGTCAGGGATACTGGGAAGACCCCATGAGCACCAGCAGGGGTGGCTCAGCTTGGGGATCAGGAGGGAGGACATGTGGGGCTGAGTTCCATGGCTGCCTCAAGAAGTTGTTGGGGCAAGGCTAGGGAGGGGCTGGCGAGAGCTTGCGGAGTAGGGAATTCATTGGAAGTGATGGAATTAGGGGAGGGGAGCTGGAGTAGGAATGGGGCTTGGGGAGGAGGGCAGGGGCCGCATCAAGAAGGCAGAGGTGACTGCATGGCTTACACGGAGGCTGGGAGGACCAGTAGGGAAACAGCTTGCTCCTGCCAGCCCCCTGAATGCTCAGTGTGTGTCCTTTGAGTCTAAGTCATGACTGGAACCAGAGGAGCCCCCAGGACTTCCCTCCTACACTCAGTGCCAGTGTGAGTGGGCTCAATGTGGCCACGTGTTCAGCCAGTCTCTGCTCTGGAGGTGACAGTGTGCACTGCCAACTTGCAAGCCTTGGAAGGAGGGTTTGAGGCCCAGCCCAAGGAGGGCTTTGCACAGTCACTGAGTCCTCTCCCTCCCAGGCTGGCAGCACACCTTGTAGGGAAAGTGGGCGAGGTTGCTTTGGGCTCGCTTATCTCTGGACCATCTCTGCCTCCAGCTGGAGGAAGGCTGAGGTCCTGAGGCTGCCTCTGCTCCCTGCAGCCCGCTCACCTTGTCGGAGCCATAGCTCCCCAGGCAGCAGCTGAAGTCATCAAAGCCCCAGCTGAAGGTCCTGTTCCAGAGAGGAGGCAGCAGCAATTTGTTCCTCTCTACAGCTAGAATGGTCTTCTCAGTAGGGACAATGTGGCCGATGGCCCCTTTGGGGGACTCTGAGCCTAGAGAAAAGAGGTACATATCTACGCCCCAGTTAGTATGGAGAACTTATGCATGGAAGAACAGCACCCATTACAGTCGGGCCCCCGGGCAGAAGTCACAGGTAGACACACTGGACTCGAACTTATATGTGGAAGGACAGCACCCACTGCAGCTGGGCCCCAGGTAGGAATGACAGGCAGACACACTGGACTTGAAGTTACGTACAGAAGGATAGCACCCACTGTAGCTGGGCCCTGGGGCAGGCACACTTTCCACCCTCCCTCAGCTCCACTCTGGGAGCCATCCCCAGCCCCAGCTGGAATATGACTCAGAGCACGGGATTTGGAGCTGCCCAGACCTCATTCCAAGCCTGGTTATGCTGATCAAGTCATTCCATCTCTTCAGACCCAGCCTCTTCCCAGGCAGTAGAGACAACCATGCCCCTTTCAATGTGTGTCCACTGGCACAGAGCCTGGTGCAGCTTGTCAACTCAAAACACTGAGGCCAGCCTAGTTTCTGAGACTGTGCACACCACACCCACCAAGTAGGGGCCTTTCCTTCCTCCTGGTGGGGGCCACTCCCTTCCTTGCCCTGTGCTGGGTCAAGTGGGAGAACCACCCTCTTCCTGACCCTACCACCCAGGAGGAAGAGAGGCAGCAAGATTCGGGAAAGGCTCCAGGATAAGACTGTGAGATGTCTCTCCCTGTAGGGAAGAGACTGTGGCATCAATGGCCCTTACCCTCTGGGACTGCTCAGATGAAAAGGAGAGAGTAAAGCCAGGCCCCTTAAAGCAAGGCCCAGTGTGTGCTCGGAGTGGCACCAGCATCTGCCAGGACTCCTGTCTCAGCGCTGGCTTGTTGCCTGCCTGTGTGGCAGACACCACTTCATGGCACTGTCACAAGCCTGAGGGCAGGGCCATTGTCTTCCCTACCTTACACATGAGGAAACTGAACCTCAAGAAGGCCCCCCAGGACCTGTGGCTGGTAAGATCTGCATCAGTCTCCTGGAGCCCACATGGGAGATCTGAGCTCCTTTGTTACTGTTAGTGTGGTTTGCACCTCATGTCCCTCTCTATGAGAGCAGGGGCTGTGCCTGACTGCCCAGGGACTTCAATGCAGCAGCAGATTCCCAGTCCTGGGGCAAATGGAGGCATGGTCCCCAGAGCCAAGGGCAGCAGCACCTTATCTACCAGGGTGGGGTGTGCCAACAACACTGTTCTTAGACTTCAAGGATAAAAAAGGACACCATTAAAACCCCTGAAAACTTAACTTTATACTCCTTGGGACCTGCATGTTGTTCAATGTAGTGGGATTTCCCCAAGGCAGTGCATGTCCTCAGATGGCACACGCACCCGACTTCATACATACATGGCCCTAGGAACCCAGCCTCACCCTCTCTTCCGCTTCCATCTGGGTGATCCTCCCTCCTGGGCTGGGTGGGACCACCACCACCCCAGTGGACTCCTGCTTCTATAGAGCCTCTCTGAGCCTTGGTGGCAGCTGAGGAAGCCACTGAACTGTGGTCAGATGAGAGGGACTAATAATCACCCTACGTGCTGGACACAGAAGGTGACCCATCTCATCGCACTCTCACTAACTGGCCTTGTTGAGGAGCCCCTGGTCCCTGGAAGAACTGTTTCTCAATCATGGGGCCAGAGTGACCCTCTTCCTTCCCTAGATCACATGGCTCCCTTCATTGGCTCAACCTATTTCTCATGTTTTTCATCCTTTCCTTACCAACTCTCTGTGGGCTCATTTATCTAAGCATCAATACAATTCTGTAATAGCATCCATTCAACCCTACTCAAATCCCCATAGGAACATGGAGATTCAGTGGCTTGCCCAAGGTCACACAGGGAGGAAGCTGTAGGGCTGGAATTCACTCCTGGGCCATCTGACCCAGAGCACATGTTCTTAGCTACTGGCTGCCTGCCTATCCTGCCCTGCTTAGGAGGACCAGTGGCCAAGGCACAGAGGCTGTAACCCTTCCTTGGGAAACTTGGAACTCTCCACTGGTCTCTTGAGGAGAGGAGGTGTGTGTGTGTGTGTACATGTGTGTGTGCATGTATAAAAGAGAGGAAGAGAGATGTGTGTGTGTGCCTGAAAGAGGTGTGTGTGTGTGTGTGTGTGTGTATGTGTGTTAGAAAGAGAAACAGAGAGAGAGAGAGACAGACAGAGAGAGAGAGACGTGGGTCTTCAGAAGTCAAGGTCTAACAGAGGAGCCCCTAGACACTTCCCAGAGACGATGCCCCCCTAGAATCTGGCTGTGATTGGAGATGCAGCCATTCAAAGTCAGTCCCCAATACTTTGCCTAGGTATGTGGTGCTGGACCTCCAGAGGAACCCAGCCACTGAAGGGACAACCCTGGGACAGGACACTAAACAATGCAGGGCCAGGGAATCACCTTTGACCGTGACCTGGGAGGGCCTCAGCGACTGCAGGCTGTAGAAAAAGGGCTGTGGGTGGCCAGGCAGGCTCACGGGGGTAGAGACATCCTTTCCAGGCAGAGCCTTCCCTGCTGCAGTCCTGGCTGGGTGGGGTTTGGTAAAGAGCTGGAAAGACAGGGAACAGACACACATGAGGGGAGAGATGCCCAGAGGAGGGGTCATCCCTGTGCACACTGCAGCTGCACCCCGACTCTGGGGGTTGCCACAGCTGGGCTTGCTCCTGACAGAGCTGAACATGAACAGAACCTGTGGTCCAGCCCTCAGAGGCTGCAGGTGAGGGGCCTGGGGCTCAGAAAGGGACAGCTACTTTTTCAAGGTCATAAAGGCAGTCCTTCTGCCTGCCAAATCTCTCCTTTCCCAAGCTGCTTGGGAAAAGACTGGCCTCACTGAAGAGCCCCTGGTCCCCGGAAGAACTGTCTCTCAATCATGAGGCCAGAGTGACCCTCTTCCTTCCCTAGATCATGTGGCTTCCTTCATTGACTCAACCTATTTCTCATAGTTTTCATCCTTCCCTCACAAACTCTCTGCAGGCTCATTAATCTAAGCCTCAACACAATTATTTAACAGCATCCATTCAAATATTCCAAAGAACACAGGCAAATCCCATCAGCGACCTCTTTCTTATTTTTCTCCAATCTCTGCCATCAGATTGTGCCTAATGCCAAATTTTCTGCATAACTGAGCCAAGCCCTGAGCATGAGCCATGCTGTCTGGCTGAGTCCTTGCTTCTGGACCAGGGTGTGCAACTGTGGCCAGATCCAGCTCTGTACCCTGCAGTCCCTCCCAGACTGCACCCCTGCTGGGCTGCTCTTTCCAGCCAGCAGCACATTCCTGCAAGTCATCCACCAGGCACACATTGGAGGGAGAAGAAGTGGACATTGGTCCGGGCTGTGGACATGGGCAGAGTTGAGGCTCCAGTTCGATGGGCAGCTGGGGGGGCATGGGGGGGTCTCAGAGAAACCTCAGCTCAGTTACAGTCCTGGATCAAATGCTCATCTATTTAGAAAAACTGGTTGGGCAATCAATGCAAACAGAAATCAGAATGATGAGTTTTCAATGAGTGTTTAATAATGAGCACTCTTCCTCGCTCAAGGTGACTGGGAGTAGCGGACACAGCCTCTGTTAGGAGTGGCATGGGGCCTGAGTGCTGCAATCTTGTCTTTAAACTGGGACACTTGGGATTCACATTCTGATGGCTACTTTAGAAATACTTGTCAAAGCTCATATGACACATTGTTGAGTAGTCAGAATCTGAAGTTGTGTGTACTCCGTAACTACACTGATGGGAAAAGATCTGTGCTGCGGACAAGGGCTGTGAGTACATGAGGCAGGACATGGCTGGATGGTGGTGGCTACTACTTTGAATTATTTTCTTGCTTTGTATTATTATATATTTTTTAAATTCAGGAAATGAAACCATTAGGCTAACAGGCTTCTTTCCTGAAATTCTTTCCTTCCTACAAAGCCTCCCAGCAAACCCACACTGGATGTGCCATCCAATCTCCAAGTCAACCTCACACCCTCCTCACATTCCCTTTACCTGGGAGCTGAGCAAATCTCAGCATGTCATGTGAGACCAGACAAAAAGATGTTAGTTTAGCACAAAAGGAGCCCTCTCCCTACCCCGAGTCCTCATGGTTGCACATGGGGAAGGCTGGAACAAAACATCTCCACACAGAACCACAGTTCAAGGATCAACAGGGCCAGAATCAATTAAATAACCACCTAACTTGTGCTTTCATCAGTATGTCAACAGGGGAATGCACAACCTCATATTGCTAAGTGACTATCTTGCCAGGAGACAGAGCCAGCAGAACAGAAGGTCCAGGTGAGACTTCGCAATTTCACCTGAGGCCTGGCAGGTAGAAGGCAGATGCTCTCACACTGGCGACAACATGTGTTAGGACCACAGCTCTACCTCTGTTGACTGCTATTAGTGTAATTCTAGGCAAGGTATTTATTTAGCCTCTCTGAGCCTCATTTTCCTGGTCCATAAAAGAATACTCTATACCCAGAGCTTACAAGAGATTTCAATGACATAATCACACTAATAGCTAACATTTGTTAAGTGCTGGTCATATTTCAGACACTTTCAAACACTTGCTATGTCTTAAGTCATTGGATACAACAAACCTGCAGGGTAGATATGAACACAAGTAATTAGTTACCACATATCTATTGTAGTGTCTAAAATCAGATCAGTCACAGATAAACACCAGCTTTCACCAGTTTCACTAATGATGTCATCATCTGCATCAACATCAGGTGGTAACTGAGGGTTAAGCCTGATATTGAAAGCACAGGAAGATGTTGGGGGACCATTTCACTTCTTCAGCCCTCTCCTTCACTCTTACCCCAGGAGAGAATGTCCTCACACTGCACACACTCTTTTGAGAAAGCAAGGCAAATGACAAGGCATGTTGTACCTGTTTGGGCACCTGTCCAAAGTTGCTGACAAACCCCAGGATGGTGCTCTTGATGAGGGGGTCAGTGATGCTGCTGAGGTCCACTCTGTCACCGTAGAAATAGGGGTGGAAGATATTAACAGCGTCCACTGCGGCTGGACCCTGCTGCTTGTACCCGAAAATAAGGTCTATCCAATGATGGAGGTTGGCACTGACAAAGTCACTTTCCAGGGCCTGAAACAAAAACCCAAAGAGCATTAAAACCCAGGCCACTCACGGACTCATGCACTCTCTGCAAGGGGCATGTGCTTCAGGGTGTTGGCCCTGCACAGAGGAGATAATTGATGGGCCCCTGGGCTTGATGAGCACAAAGCGGCAGGATGAGCCAGCCACCTGAGGGCCACCCTAGTCCTGCCTCCAGCCAGCAGCAAACCAGATCTGATTGTTTTCACCACTCCAGCTCAACCATGTCATAAAACAACCATGGTGTCCACAGTATCTATGAGGTGCAGGCCTGGGAAAGACATCTAAATGGAAGAGACAAGGCTGAAAATAAAGTATTGGGGTCTTGCTGAGATGTGACATATGAAACAGGGAGAGCTGGTTCTGATCAGAGAATGTCAGAAGGTTGAGGCTAAGTGCAGTGATCAGGAGAGCATGCTCTGGAGGACAGGGGGTGTGGGTGCTGCCATGTACACATTCCTTAACATCTCTGTTCCTTGGTTTCTTCATCTGTAAGATGAACAATTGTACCTTCTTAGCTGGTTCATGTAAGAATTAAGTTGTGTCCACGGTTGACACACAGAGAGCTCCAGGAGTTAGGAGATTTCACTGAGCACATACGGTGCCAGGTACCAGCTGTTTCACAGGTGTTGTTTCCTCCTATGAAAACCGCCTTTGGTGGCAGGTATAATTAACTCACTTCTAGGGCAGGCTCATGTGATCCTAACACTCCAGCCGCCAGTTTTCATTCCTCAGAACCCCACAGGGGGCATCCAGTCTCACTGAGCAGATCCCACTTCATTCAGGTACTGGGAAATTCTGGACATGGGTGTGGGCATCTTCTAAATCATCCCTGGCACAGAAATGATAGAACCTGCTTCTGAGGTGCGGCTTAGCCCCAGGGAATGTGAACTTCCTTCACTGGGGCAGCTGTGTCTAGCTGGGGGCACGCAGCAGGCAAGGAGTTTCTCACCCATGCTCTCACAGACCTGAGGAATATTCTGTCCATGCTCAGGCTCACTGTCCCCAGATGGGAGGACAGGAGACATTCTCAACTCAAACACGGAGCCTGGATCTGAGTTTACAACCTTTAAATGAGAAGTAAACCTCACCCCGTTCAGGACCACAGCTCCCACTGGAAGTCAACAACATCTGCCCCTCATGAAAGGTGACATCCAACAGGAAACAAAGAATTTAGCATAAGAGCCAAGCATGCTGGATCTTTCATGCATACAGTCCAGATGGGTGGCACTGGCTCAGAATGGGGGACCCAGGTTGGCAATAATTCTCATCAGGTGCCACACATGAGCAAGAGAAAGTATGGCCCAGTGTCTGGATATCACAGTCTATCGGAGAGGTGGCACCTGTCTCTACTGAATAGAACCCAGCTTCAGGGCAAGGTCCCCAGAGCCTCAAGATGTTCATTCGGGATTGTCTGGGCTCCCCTTATTGGTCCTCTGGGAGGACAAGCTGCCCTACACACCTGGATCTGGAGAAGCCAGGTCACCTGTGCTAAGTTAGCTTTTCTGAGGTCTATGATTAAAGTGGCATTGAGGGCAAGAAGGCCACTCTTGAGTCATGTCATACGAGGGGCAATGAAAGGTATGGCTCTCCCAAGCCTACCACCTGACTTGGGGCATACCTCATGGCCTTCTGGAGATGTTTGCATGAAAGCATTTGTTGGTGTTTGCCACAGAACCACTAAAGGCATAGCCGGGTGAGGGCAGATCATAGGCCAGGACAGCTGACCCTTTTGCTGGCCCTTCTTCCTACCTCTTGCTAACCAACACATATCCCACATCCTCAAGCTCTTCCCAAACATTCCTCCACCTCCTTTCCTTAGATGAAGCCTGGCTTTCCCCAGGGCCACCGGTTCCCCTTCAGCAAGTTCAAGTGGTGGCCACTTGCTGGACACAACCCATACGTCTGGGGCCAGGACATGGGGCTGGTGTCTCCTCAGTCCTTATTGCCACCTCCAGAGTATTGGTCCTCTGTCCTCTTGTAAAAAAAAATTACAAAACATCTGCTTCTCTGTGCTGCATGAGATCTAGCTTTACCCACTCCTCATCCTCACTGCTGTCTTCCAACAACTTCTCTCTGTTCTCCTCATTCATCAAAGATGGTGATTCCTGGCCATATTTTCCCTGCTTCTCCATGATCTGCCATCATCCTCAGTGACTGCGATCTCTGGCCTCTTGGTTCCTTGAGCTCCACATCTCCAAAGACTTTTGCCTTCATTCCACCTAAAGTCACCATTCCCACGGCCACACCTTAACCCATGTCAGTATCCATAACTGTCTCATCTTCTAAAGCACTCATTCAAACATCCACTTGGTGAAAGTCACATCCTCCTCACCTTGCTGGATGTTTAAGTACTTCCTAAGGCTCTTCTACCTTGTCACAACCTCAGGTCCCCTTGTCCCTTTTCTTCTTTGCAGTATATCAGCACCCACCTGTCTTTGACTACATCTTTATCCAGCTTAGATGTAGTGGCCCATCATTCTAGTAACACTCTGGTCAATTGAATCATGTGTACCTCTGTCTTTTATTAGACTATGGCTGCTGCTGCCTACAGGTTACATTCATCTCTGGCCCAAGTACTCAAGACAGTGGGCTCTGAGAGGGATGACTGTTATCACTGAGTTTCCAGAGGCAAGAATAAAACAAGAAGAACTTTCTCTTTGCAGAAAAGGACAGGAAAAGGCATAGGTTTGTTGCCACTAGTCAGACCTGCCTCCGGTTATTTTTACTTTTTAGGTGTAATTTACATACAATAAAACTTGCCCTTTTAAAATGCCCAGTTCAAAGTGTTCTTGTAAATTCATGCAGTCATGTAACCATCACCACAGTAAAGAAATAGAACATTTCCTTTGGTTCAAAAAGTCCCCCTGTGTGTTCGTTTGTGGTCACTCTCCTACTTCAGAGCTTAGGAACCACTAATTTGTTTTCTGTCCCTATAGTTTGCCTCTAAGTGTCACATTTCATGCCTGCATATAAAAATCACATGATATGTAGCCCTGGGTTATGGCTTCTTTCACGTAGGATAATGCATTAAAACTCATCCATGTTGTTCTGTGTAAACTGATTCAGTAAATCTGCTCCTTTTTACTGCTGAGTAGCATTCTGTTGTGTGTGCATGGACATACAATTTGTTTATCCATTTAGCAGCTGATGGACATTTGAGTTTTGTTTTTGACTAGTTTGAATAAACCTGGTAAAGATTCATGCACAAGTTTTTGTGTGGACGTGCTTTCAATTTTCAAGTGAAAATGCTGGGTGATATGGCAAATGCACCTGCAAATTTGTAAAAAAATTACCAAGCTTTTGTACAAAGTGGGTGTACCATTTTGCTTTTCCCACCATTGATGTCTCACGCATTCTAGTTGCTCCACATTTTCATCAACTATTGGTTTTGCTGGTCTTTTCAATTTTAGCCACTCCCGTGGGTATGTCACAGCATCTCATCTCATGGTGGTTTTAATTTATTTCTCCCTGGTGACCAATGATGCTGAACATCTTTCATGTGCTTAGACTAACCTAGAAATTTGATTCACCTTGTGTCCCTAATGACCTCTGGTCTCTACCCATGTCCAGTTTTTTGGGTGATAAGCCAAGTTCTCCCCAGTCCTGGAAAATCTTTGGCCAGTGGGAGCCCCTGGGAGACTCCAAACCCTCTCTGAACTATGCCGAGCAGTAAGGCCCAGGGAGTGGACATTCTTGTAGGGCTGGCTGAGGACACTGACCTGCCCTCCAGGGCACTAAGCTCACTTCCTCCAGTGAAACCCTCACCAAGCTGACACCTGGGCAGGGTCTAATGGAGCTCCTGAAACAGCCCAGAGCCCAAGCCTTTCCTTGCCAACCCAAGGCATACACCCCACCCCTTCTCTAGGTTTTCCAGACATAAGCCTCACAGTGCTGGTGGCCCTCCACTTGGACAGAAAGCCTTGGTGGAACTTGAGGGGATGTTGAGGTCCCCAGCAGGATACTAGGGATCCTGGCATGACTCACCTGTCTGTGCAGGCTGATGAATTTCCGAGGGTCCCCATCAGCCCAGGGAGGGAGCTGCACGTCTCCTAGCGCAGTCCCGTCCTGCATGCAGCCTGCATGGGATGAGAAGCAGCAGAGATTTGGGTAACTGGGGACTCAAACCAGGCTAGGAACTGGGGGATGTAAAATACATGCTGCCTAGGATCGCTGATTTTGTGTAGGTCAGAACGTGAGTTATGTTCTCTGCAGACCATGCTGCTTTCAACGTTCTCTGCCTGGAATGACCCCTCAGCATGGCCTCTAGACCTTCGCCTCCTCCAGGAGGTCCTCCTTGCTTCCCAGACAGCGCTAGTGCTTGCTTTACAAGTTGTCTGAAATGATTTCAGTGTCATCATTGTGGTACATCTTTCTCTCCACTGTACCATGCCTTTCTTCTGGGTGCTTTTTACACAGCATTAAACAATCAGGAGACACAGTGATAGTGGTGCAAGCTGGCAAATTCTAAGCATCTGAGTCCACGCCAGGAGCTAGGCTAGGCCCTGGCCACACATCACCTCACGGAATCTTCATTCTAACTCGATAATTTATGTATTTTCTCTCCATTTTTAAGAAGAGAACAGCAAGGTTTTTAGACAGATTCCCCTGACAGCAGAAAGAGGAGGCTGGACTTGACCCAAGTCTCCCTCCTCTCCATTAGCTGCCCAACCTTGCACAAGCCACTTCACTTCTTTGAGATTCATTTTCCACCTGTAAAATTTAAGGTGATGACAGGAATTATCCCATAGGGCTGGCATAATGATTAAAGGAGAAAATACATATCACGTGCTTAGAACGATGTCAGGCATATGATGGCTACTCCATAAACATGAGCTACAGTCTTGCTTGACCTCCTCAGAGCCTGCAAGAAGCAGCTGGATAAAAGCTCCCCTGCTCTCTCTGGGCTACAGAGCTGCCTGGCCTGGCCCTTCTCATCACTCATCTCAGCCTGCCACCTCCTCAACAGGTCCTTCCTGAGGACCAGAGAAACCCAGGTCTTGCTGAGTCATCCTCAAAGCATTTTCCTACCTATTTTCCTCATAGGACTTCTCAGCATCCAACAATGTTTCACTTACAATATAGAAATTGTCTATATTTTCTCTTCCCTTTTTCCTACCCCCACACAGAATGTAAGCATCTTCAGGGTATGCCATCCCAGGAGACTCAACTAAATCCCCAGTGCCTAAAAAAAAAGGTCCCTGTATACAGTAGGTGCTCAATAACCACTTGTTCTCCTGACTTCTCTGAGGACATTTGCTCTCTTGGCCTCCATTGCTGGTAGGAGCCATCGTGTCTGCAGCTAAGCCCATCATGCCTCCTGCAGAAGAGTCTGGCTTCATTTCCAAGGCAGAGTGGGGACTCCGGTCAGTGCTCTAACCCCAGGCTGGTCAGCCGTCTCCTCCTGGCTGCCACCCTCCCTGAGTGACTCCTCTGTGGGACTCCTCACGCTTTGGGGGATCCATCCTTTGTATTTGTTCACTTCTCACCCCTGACGCATGTGAGGTGTCTAACGATCTGAACACCACCAAGGTCCCCAGGTTCCACAGGTCACACTCATGAGGCCTGGCTCACTGTCTGGCCTGCTCCTCATGGATGTGGGCTGCATATCTAAGGCTGAAAACCCCTGCACAAGGTTTTGCAAGGACTAATCTCCTCCTCTATACCCTGTGCCGGGGCTGCATCTGGCCTGGCTCAGGTGCATGCCCTTATGTGCTGTCTGGAGGCAGAAGGAGAACACTGAAGAAGGGGGGCTCTAGAGCCTGAGGTATGCATTGCTGATGGCTCATGCATGTTGTCTGCAGATGATTCCCAGCCACGCTGGCATCCGCAGCTGCCCACACCCTGCCCAGGCTGTGACCACTCATCCACTCCACAAATTGCCCTGACTCAGCCTCCCAACTGCTTGCAGTGGAGGCTCCAAGACGTACACACAGTCCCCAGGGGACCTGCCCACCAGGGCCTCCTGGATTGTTTGTTCTACCTCTGTAGCAGCAAGAAGCCCTGCTGCATCCTAGGCTGGGGCCTGCAGTTCAGGAAGGAGCTGCCATAAGTGCCCGTCCAGCTGCCCTGGGATCCCACCCAGCAGTCTACCCCAGGAGATCCAGCATCTCTGGGTCCTGCCCTTGGAGTCCACATGAACCCATTTGTGGGACATGGAGGAAATGGGACTGGTCGGGGGCAGGAGCTTATCCAAGGTCTTGAGGCAGCAAGGCAGTGCCAGACCTGGGCTACACAGAAGAGCCCCTGGTCTCAGCCACGGCCCCACTGCCAATTGAGGCCTGGGACCATCGGAGGAAAGGTCACGGGTGGGGTGGTGGCTCAGCGCTGTCCTGGCAGCCTGGGGCCAGCGCCCTTCCTCAGCAACCACCTTTCCTTCTGGGCACTGCTGCCCAGTGGAGACCTCACCCGAAGTGCATGTGTCCTGGGGAGGGCCTAGCAAAGGTCCAGATGATGTTGGTCATCACCCAGGAGCTGTGGGAAAGAGCACCCTGCAACACCACTCACCCAGCCTCACCAGGCCTCCACTCACCGAACTCCACCCCATTGCAGTTGGTTAAGAACTCAGGCAGGTAGAAGAACTCTGGGGTCAGCTCCCTGACGTCACTCATGTTCTCTCTGGAGGCCGACTCCCATGTGCTCTTCACACTGTGGAACATTCTGTCTGCCACGTCGAAGCCTCCACCCTGGGGGAAATGGAGCCAACATGACCAGCTGCTCACTGGCACCCTCCTGCTGGCCAGGGACCATCCATTCTGCCTTGGAGGCACAGGTTCCACCATTAGCACCTCTCATTCACTCTCCCCACACATGTGTACCCGTCAGCCCAGATGTGTGTGCGGTGGTTCTCCAGCCACCGATTCCTTCATTACTCTCTAGAACCTTGCTCCAGAGCTTCAAGGCAGAATGCATGATCCGTGGTAATCAATCCATGTTTCCCTGCCATGGAAATCTCAGTTCATATCAGAAACAGGAAAACCACATCTGAGCGTTTCCAAGACTGCAGAGGGCCAGCTCTGAATTAGGTGCTCCACACGAGGCAGCAAGAGTGCAGTGACTGGGACTCGGCTCCTGGGAGGCTCATGGTCGAGTGCCACAGGCGGGAAATAAAGAACCAACCATAGGACAAAGAAGTGGGTGAATATTCTATGTGGGAGGTCAGCAGGAGTTTCCTGGAGTGTCGCCCCAGAAGTGAGTTTGGAAGCCTGCTGATGGGGAAGATGGCAGTGTTCTGAGCAGAGGACAAGGCTTGGGTTAGCAGCAGTGGTGGGAGGAGAGCAAGCAGCAGGGGTGGGAGGAGAGCAAGAAGCAGAGGAGGAAGGAGGATGGAGGAGAACTCGCTAGGGCAGGGCCCTGGTGACATCCAACACACAGCTTATGGCATTTGGTGGGGGCGAGAGGTGGGTAGGAAGGAGACTCTGGGACCAAGGGTCTTGGCTTTGATAAGAGAGAATGGATCTGAGGGTGGAGAGATGGAGAAATTTTAGGTTCAAGGGACAGGAGGCTGGTCCCCAAAGGACATGATATCCACAGCCTCTGCCAGGGCCAGTCCTAGTCCCAAGGCCCATGGCCACAGGTGGCCTGGTACGGCCCCAGACCTGGCTGTCGAGGTTGGGCCATGTAAGAATTCAGGCATATTCTTTCCCTAGATGCCCTGATTCTCTCATCTGAATTGTCAAACTCTTCAGCTGATGGTACCCTTATTCACCACGTGGTCTTGGGGGTTGGGAGGAGGCAGAGAGGTGCCTCCCTCCAGGTCCTGGTTGGAGAAATGAAGGTGCTGGGGGCTGGAGGGACTTCAGGAGACAGTTTCTGAAATTGGGCCTTGGGTCTATGTAAGTTGTGGGATATCCTTCTGCCTAGGATTCAATAGTTCACTTGTCCCCATCAAGGCTGGGCCTTTGTATAACAAAAACTTGTCCTCCTTCTGCCATCTTCTACAAAGCACACATGTGGAACAAGGGGCAGGGCCACAGCAAAGCCTACTCTATGCCCGTCACTCCCTTCCCTGCTCAGAGGGCTGAGGGTCTCCATCTGTATTTACCCAAGGAAGCCTTGGGGGCAGCTGCAGGGGTGGATGGAGGTGAAAAAGGGCAGGCGCCTTCTCTTGGCATGCCTGGTCCATGCTCAGATGCTCTCTCCTAATCCTCACAGTAGCTGCATGAGGAAGGAATTGGTGTTTCCATTTTGCAGACCAGAAAACGGAGGCTCCTCAAAGTGCACTGATTTTTCCCAAGGCAGTGAATGGCAGAACTGGGGCAAACCCATGGATGCAACTCCACAGGGCATGCTTTGTCCCATGCCAGATTCCTGGGGGAATCCCTGGACCTGGGACCAACTTGATCCACTACGTGTGGGCCAAGGGGGAACTCAGCTCTTTCTGAGAGGGAGGAACCCACCACACACCCAAAGTGGCCACACCTGGACATCTTGAGGGTCATGGTCTGGCTGGTCCATTTACTGAGTCAGACTTGATCAAGTGAGATCTGTGGGTCATTCCCCACACAGGGACAGGGACACTGACTCAAGCAAACAGTGCATGGGCAGCTTTAAACATGTGGCTTTTCCCCAAGGTCGCTTTGCTCTCGGTTGAAATTAGGGAATGACGTCCACCATCAAATTTAAATTGGAATGGAAATAAAATGGGGGTGGCGTGTCGAAATAAATCTTCACCTAATGAGTCACTCATTGAAATGTATTAGGAGCATTGTGTATTTAATCTGCAGCCCAAGCCTTACATCTGCGGGAGATTGATGCCTTCTCCTCGTCCCGTTTCCCTTTTGCAGCTTTTATGAGTGCTGATGGTAGTCTCCTGAGAAACAATATGATTTGGTAATAAAAAGATTACCTGTATTAAATAAAAATAATATATACATACGAAATATTGTTAGTGCTACAAATCTGGTTAAAGATATTACCACAAAGAAAACTGTTATTTTTTTCACAGCTGTCTAATGCATTTTAGCAAAAGTAATATCTTTAAAACTTAAGCCTGTATTATTTATAAAGGAAGCAATAACTGATTTTCCTATTTCCTATATTAATAAATGTATTTGCATACATTTGTTTCAAAATTAATGGGTTTTCTCACTTCTGCAATACAAAAGAAAACACCAAATTCCCTAGCAGAAAAAGTGGAGTTGCTTTGTTACTTGTATTATAAGACTGTGGTTTGATGTAAACTCTGGTGGCTGCCAGCGAGGAGTCCCAGCTAGGATTAAATTCTCAGAAAGGAAGGAAGGATAAAAGAAAGAGAAGAGGAAAAAATGGGGCAAGAAGGTAAGAGGCGGAGAGACCCAGTTAAGGTTTAAAGAGCACCTATCTAAGGCAAATCCAGACCCAAATGAAAGAAACCAACACAATTACATCTAGAACTTAGAAGGGAACAAAGTGATCAGAGATGATTCATGAACCAAGAGCTGCTCTGGAATCTGTTCTGCAACAAATCCGACCTGTATCCAAACAAACTGTAAAAAATAATAGCAAGGTTATTATTGTCAACAAAGGAACAATTTCTTATTGGCAGAAGGTTTTCCCATGTGACATTTAGGCCAAAAGACAATGGAGCCAGCCAAGCCTAGAGGATTCTGAGGCAAAAGGTTACAGTTGTTGGATTTTGGGCTCAGTTAAGACATCACTCACATGTAAAGATGCAGGAACATTTTGAATATTGAAGAGTCCAGAAACAATATAATCCTAGGTACCTCTTCCCAATTAAAATCCTTTAGGAGGTGCTAAATATTGCTAAGAGATGAAGCAAAACTGAGGGCAAAATAATAGGAAAAGAAGTGGCTAGCAAGGACTATTCCTGGACATTGATCCAAGTTAAAATCAGGGGATAGTCTATAATTATGGTATGATGGTTAAAGCTGAAAAACCTGAAAAGAAATGTTCTATATTAAATGAAGTACTCCTTTCATTAGAGGACACAAAGTCTATGTACACCATTGTCCCTGGATGAGCATTTCAATCACTATTAGACATTCTTAAACTCCTCTCCAATGTGGTTTCAATTCTTGACCCAAATTCACAGGAAATTCAGTAACTGCACATGCTGAGGGACACTGAGATGCAAAGATATTTCTATAATATATGCTAGAAAGTCTATTCTTCCTTCCTGATGACACTGATCCAAATCAACCCGCTGCCACATCTGGATATGGAATTGGTTTTATCAACAGGCTGACAACCCATTCTCACTGCAGATATTCTTTCTAGTAATTTAAAAGTACCCATGCAAACGACTCACTTACAGGACCCCACTGATATATCAGTTGATCTAACCTGCTGTCTTTAGCCCATCAAAGAGGCAGTGTGCAATGGTGGAAAGCACATTGGTTTCAGAAGCAGGCTGGCTTGGGCAGGAATTTCAGTGCCCACTTACTTGCAGGATGAACTCGAGTGAGTTTCTTAATCTCTTCAACTGCCCATGCCCTTGTCTGTGAACCTTGGATGATAGCTCTTGGTGTGAAAGCAATTGTGTGTGTGCATGCATATGTGTGTGTGTGTGTGTGTGTGAGAGAGAGAGAGAGAGAGAGAGAGACATATCTCATGCAGTGCAGCAGGCACATAGAAAGAGGTGTCAAATGAACCCAGTCCCTATGTCCTTTTCTCTGCACAGACTAGGATTAGAACTAGGGAGCAATCCTCGGCTTGGGCCATGATCTCAGTGTGCCTGGGGAAGGCAACCAGGAGCTCTAAAGGAGAAGGGGATGGAAGTTACGGAAGGTAGGAGGTAGGGTACAGGGGGAAGTGAGGTGAGGCGGGATCCTCCAGTGCCGGGGACAGGGGTAGGAGGGTGGGGAATCTGAAGGACTGTGGGATGATAACAGGAAGGACAGCCTGCACTGTCAGGGCAGCTTTTGGCAGCAACAGCACTTCAGAAGTAACGGGGCAAATGTGCGAGGGGAAAGGAAAGCTGGACCCAGCGTTCTCTGAGCCTCTGCAAGAAAAAGCCAGGCCCTGACTCGCTACTGAATAAACTAACGGTGTAGGACTCTCGTGGCATTGGGAAGCCCACGCACTGGTCCGGCTGCCTCCTTGGTCTTGCTCTCTCGGAGGATGGGATGACCCCAGAGTGGCCATTAGCTTTCCTTCCTGTAGGTCGTGGCTCTTTTCTAAATGAGTGAACCCACCAAGGCTTGCTGAAACCATGCTGCCTGCATTAGGAGGAGGAGGGTGGGCACGTAGGGGACGCTCAGGTCAGCCAAAACGGCTCATACCATATCTCCTTTAGTCCTCACCACCCACCCAGCTAGGGGCTATTTTAAAGGATGAAGAAACCAAGGCTCCGTTGTTCAATAATGCCAATTAGAAAGTTGTAGAGCCAGGAGTTTATCCCAGGATTGTCTGTCCCTATTGCGTGTGCTTTTCCAACATTCCTCCTCAAGTCTGTATGATAAAAAACTACACAGCGTTGGAGATCCTGAATGATTCTCCTCAAGTCACAGTTTGGGCCCTTACAGACCCCACATCCTCACGCTGTAATCAGAGGGAGGCTGGCGGTTTCTGTCTAGCCCCGCAGCCCTGGCTGCATGGGGCGGGCTGGCCCTGTGTGAGGTTTAGGGTACCAGGAGGGGGCTGCTTGCCTCAGAGGCAGGGGCTGAGCTGCAGGCAGCAAGTGAAGAGGCAGGCATGGTCCACCTCAGTGTGAGCACAGACACAGACTCCTCGCCTTCCCTGGCACACACTCCACCAGGACTTCTGGCACTGATCCCTCCAGGAGCTTCTAAGTCAACAGCCAGGACGGGCCAAGTGCTGCCCCACGGTTCTCCGTTCTCTCTGCAGTTAGCATCTGTCTTGTACAAAAACCAGCCATCTTGCCTCAGGTGGTTCAGAAAACCCTTCCCCACTGCTGGTAACAGCTGACTTCACATGAGCTGTGACTTAATTAACACAGCACTTTATTTCTGTTTCTTATTAAATGCAGCAGCAGCCACCGCTGCTGTGTCTTTGGTGGGCGCTGGCTGCCTTGCTGGGCCCCACCTCAGCTGGGTCTGATCTCAGGCCTGAGAGCAACTGGTGCTTTTACTGGGGCAGAAACAGGTGCTTGGGCTGGGACCCCAGCAGGGGCCTGACCTCCTGGTGACTCAGCTTTCTGGAAGCTCACAGATACTTGCTCTAAGCAGGCAAGACTCCTAAGAACTATAACATTTTCCAGCCCGGGCAACATAATAAGACCCCATCTTTACAAAATGTGTTTTTTTTTGTTTTGTTTTGTTTTTTGGTTTATTCGTTTATCCAAGAATGGTGGTGCACATCTATAGTCCTAACTACTCAGGAGGCTGAAGCAGGAAAATTGCTCGAGCCCTGGAGTTCCAGGCTGCTATGAACTATGATCATGCCACTGTACTCTAGCCTGGGTGACAGAGCAAGATCCTGTCTCAAAAAACGAATGAACGAAAGAACTACAGCATCCTGGGGCTGCTGCTGAGGGAGACAAGCCCTCTGCCCTGGCAGACAGACGAGTTCACACCTCCAAGAAAGTGGGGAAAAGAGAGAGCAAAGCTGACCCACGCCTGGTCACAGTGCCTGCATGTGCCACCTGCTCAGATCACACAGTACATACATATACCATATTTTCTGGATTGTAAAAATCTTATGGTAATAACAGGCTTGGAACAGAAAAACAAATGAACACATCAAGGACATAAGTATGCATCAATTCTAAGACCAGCTCAAACTTAAGAACACTTAAACCTGAAGGGAATAAAACACTCCTTATACCCAGGGTTCAGAATATACCGCACAGCAACAGGGGGTCTCCGTGCTGTCCACAGTCTCTGCACAGTGCCGGGTAAATGGGCCACAGTGCCCAGAGAACTCCATGCCTGCCTCTCTGCAACCCAGCAGACCACACTGGGTGTGCCACACAGGCATACAGTATGTGACAGCAAAGGTGCTCCACAGCAGAGCTGTTGTGCTACCTGTCACTCTGCACTGGGAGCACCAAGGGCCACGCTGCACACACATGCAGCCAGTACACGGCATGTGTGCTGCAGCACCAGGTGACTGCCTACATGTCACACCGCATGCATGTGTGCCTGTGCTTAATGCTGCATGAGGGACTCCCCACTGTTCTACTGAAAATGTGGCCTTAAAAATGGCACATGTCCCTTTCCTCTGAACACTGTGTCCCCTCTGGACAACCTCTGTAGATCCCACCTTGCTTTATTTACCATGAGTGTTTTAGGTTTGGTATCCCCAGGGCTAGAACCCATCTCATCTCCCTTGTCATTTCCTGAGGGACGTGATGTCCCAGAGACTCAGTATCCTGAGATGAATCACAGCAGCCTCTCACAAGCTTGTGAGGGTCCAATGAGGCACAGCAGTGTTCACAGCAGCCCCCTTCATTGTCATCAGAAGGAGGAAGCACCCCAGCCATGAACGAATGATAAACAACATGTGGTCTACAAATACAGGGGTAGGAAAATTCAGCTGTAGGAAACTGACACATGCCGCAACAATGGATGAACCTCGAGGACATTATGCTAAGTGCAAGAAGCCAGTCACCAAAGGACAAACATTGCATAATTCCACTTATAATAAGCTTAGTGTAGTCATTCATAGAGACAGAAAGTAGAACAGTGGTTGCTGGGTGCTGTGGGGTGGGGCAATTGGAGAGTTATTGTTTCATGGTTTCAGAGGTTGAGTTTGGGAAGATGAAAAAGTTCTGGAGACAGATGGCAGCGATGGCTGCACAATCATGTATATGCACTTAATGACGCTGAGCTGTGCACTTCAAAATGGTTAAAAGGGTAAATTTCTTATTATGTATATTTTTCCACAATAAATAAATATAAAATATTTTAAATAACAGTTGTAAGGTACTTAGCACCATCCAGGTGCATAGTAGGTGCTTAATGAGCAATCAGAGGTTGGAGCTGTTAGGGAAAGGCCTTCAGAGGCGATCCTCCCACCCGCCTCCTTGATCTCACCAACAAGGAGACTGAACCCTAAGAAAGAAAGCGATCTAAACAAAGTCAAACACAGCAGCCCTGGGGATGCTGGAACGTGATTCCCCAAGCTCACCACATATGTTTCCACTCTGGCTTATCTGTGGTAATAGGCAGGTGGTAGCATTTGCTCAAAGCAGAATGGAGACACACGCTTTCCCACACTGACTCCTACACGTCCACTGGCTCTGGCTTCCATGCCTGGGTTCCACAGCCTCCCCATATCTCTCGCTCTTCCCCACTCCTTTGTCCACCCCAGGTTGGGAGTAGTGCCTTGGGCTGCTGAGACTACGGGAGGCTCCTTTCCAGCCATCACAGGGGTGAAGCAAAGGTCTCTGGAGAAGATACAGGCCTCCCCCTAGCAGGTGGGGTAGGATGGAGGGAAGAGCCTGACTTCAAGAAGATGCCAGAATATTCTTAAGGAGGTCTGCCAAGGCCCCACCACTCTCAAAGGGGAGCCTGGTGTGTCCCCTCACAGAGGAAGCCTATGTAGCCTTTATACTCATTCCCTCGAGAGCTAAAATTCTTTTTTCCTAAGGAAAAAGTGGAAGGTGGCTGGTTCTTTTCCTGGTTCAAAGGCTCAGGCCAGTTGTGACCCACTAGAGGAGTCATTTGAAAGTAGGAAAGTGAGACCCAATTCAGAAGCACGTGGAGACAGCCCGGGTGATTCCAACTTGGATGGGTCAAACTACCCAAGACAGATCTGAGCCCCAAAACTCAGTTAGATCAGGGACTTCAACATGGGAGTCAAAAGGGCTAGGTCACCAATGGGCCAAACTGGCTAAAATAAGCCTAAACCAGTGATTAGCTTCAAAGTGGCCATAGCCCAGATATCCCGTTGGTTCACAACACACCTGTTAGGTCTGGTTCATGCTAAGTTGGAATACTTTGCTGCAGTCCAGACTGCCTTAAATTATCTTAAACCAGAGGAGACCAGCCTGGACAAGTTCAGACCTGCTCAGATTAGATCTAGCTGATTGCAGAGGGAAGAAGGGAACTAACAGTGATTGATCACCTATGCAGCGTCAAGCCCCGAGCTGGGGGTTCTCTCCACATTTTCTCATTTAATCTTCTCGACAGCCTACAGCCCAGTGAGATGTGCATAATTAACCCTCATTTCCAGAGGTAAAATAACTTGCAGAAGATTTTGTATCTATTAAGTGGCAGAGCTGTGATGTAAATCTCACAGCCGAGGCTGTTTCTATTTCACTCTGTTTCCTCCCGATGTGAAAAGATCCTTAGCAACAGGTAGAGCTGGGGTTTTGGGCTGTAATGCAGCCTCCTGAAGGGGCAAGAGGGAACTCCGAAAGCATCCTGAACATTTAAATACTTAAATTCCCAGGATAGAAACCAGTGGCGGAATCCATCACTATCATCGTCAACGGTGATCATCATTTCTTGTGGATTAATGAGCAACATCTGGATGGGATTCCTGGCATGGGGCGCAGCTCTGGGACCATTTGTTCTCCAAACTAAACTTACTTAAAATGCTTGTTGCCTGAGAAAGGCTCAGGGGAAGCACACTTATTATTTTTGAGTGAATTTCCAGGGAGAGGGGAGTTATACAATGTCTAGACGAGTTATGCCGTCAAGGAGGCAGAAGGCTGTGCCAAGAAACAGAAGACAGGAGGACATTTGCTCCTTATTTGGAGAAAGTGCCTTGACCTTGCCTACCCATTCCTGCCCCAGGGCTCAGAGTTGGCTTTAGTGTTAATGCAGGGTGGACTTTGGTCTCTCAGGGTCAAGGTCCTCTGAGTGACCATAAAGAGTGACCTAACTGGTAAGGTCAGACCCAAACGCACAGTTCTTGGGATATCCAGGCTTTTCTGAGATGAGGCTTAGGTGTCAGAGCAAGTCTGTGTGTTCAGTGGCCTGTTGCCCACCCCAGCTCATGCCTTTCTCTCCATTGGACAATTGCAGGGTCTGGATTGGGGCAGCCCATACACCCTGTGCTATATTTACTTTAGAGTCAGCCGAGCCAGCTGGCCTATCTGAGAATTTTCTCCCATTCAAAAGCTGTGCCCTGGGATAAAGGGGTTCCTTGGAAGCAGGATCCCAGTGACAGGGTTGTGAGGGGAAGAGGAGAAAGGAGCTTCTCAGCACCCTCACAGCACTGCCCATGAAAGACTGTGTCCCAGAAATCCCCCATGACTTGGACACCAACCCAGCAACACTTGGACACCAGACTGGTCATGTACAATACAGGAGGCCCAGCTAAATTTAAATTTTATATAAACAACCAATAATTTATAGTTTACCTGGAAGTCAAGTTTAACTAGGAATCATGTATTTTTATTTTAAACCTGGCGACCCTAAGCTGGTAAAATGGTCTGTTAGTGTATGGGTGGGTAAGTTGGTTTTGTCCTTCGAAGCCTTTCAGTTTGTCATTGGTACAGATTTATGCATTCCGATGTCTTGAGTCATATTCTTTTCATTGTTCCTTCTCGTATTTATTTTTCTAATCCTTGACCGCCTGCCTTTCTAGTCTCCAAGCTTCCTGCTTTTTCTTTTTCCACTAAATCTTATTTATGTTAAATCATTTTTTTCATGTCTCATTTCTTATTTTTTAGAATCATTTTGGAAGACTTTGTTGGGCAGATGTGCAGGTGTAACTGAGGAAGAACAGTCTGCCTTGGCTGGGGAACCAGAATCCTGGAGCCAATGTCAACTGGGAATCACTGGCTAATGATTGAGTTTTTAGCAGAGGCATCCCATCTTTGTTCAAGCCCAAGTCTTGGTGCGTGTGTGTGTGTGTGTGTGTGTGTGTGTGTGTGTTTACAGAAAGTGGCAGCAGCTCACCTGCAGAGCACAGAAGGCCTGGGTGAAGGGTGGCATCCGGACCAGGTAGGAGGCCACGATGATGGCCGAGGAGTAGTGTGTGTAGTAGTGGCACTGGACGGTCATGTCTCCTGCAACAAAAACATATGCTTGAGGGCGGCTTCCCTACCTGTGCCCACGTGTGGCAGATAGGCGTGCTACACTGTGTTCATGAACAGTGTTAAAAACATACATTCATTGACGTTTAGGAAGTGAACAGACCTAAAGAAAAACATTCAGGCAATAAGGTCACAGGTGGCATGTGAATGTGGCAAAATGTCTAAAGATGACATGTAGATGGACAAACTTTGGGAACTAGAGTCACACGAATGCAGGCTCTGCCGTTTAGAGCCTGTGATCTTGAGCAAGTTGCTTACGCTCTCTAAGTTTCATTTTCCTTCTCTGTGAAATGGACTACTATAATATATGAACACAGGTTGACCTGCCCCTGGCAGAGAGAAAGTGCTGAATAAATGTTAGTTTATTTTGCCATTGCCCGTCCCTAGGCATGGAGTCATTACCTCTTAGCATTATATTTCTCCAGCCAGGTTGCATGATAGAATCCCCTGGGCTGTGCCACACCAAATTTCTAGAGGTGAGGCCTGGACATCAGTATTTTCTAGAAGCTCCCCAGGCACTTCCTACCACCAGGTTAGAGTCCTCTGTTCAAATGCAATCACTTGTAGGCTAGGTGACCACCTTAATTGTTGTCAACTATCATTTCAGGGCATCCAGAAGAATAACACTGCACAAAAAATCAAGCTGGATCTACTCACCTTCAGTTTTCTCAACTTCTTTAAACCTCTGGATAAATTTCAGCTTCCTTTCCTTGGTCTGAGCCCCCATGGGCTTTGAAAGATCCCGGAAAGTCTTCGAATTCGCCAAGTTCAATATCTAGAAGGCAGATGTGCAGCTGGAGTTAACTCCCCGGACCCGCTTGTGCCCTAGGAGTCATGCTCTTGAGTTTTACGGTTCTCTTTATTGGTTTACTGTCATTTGGTCTGACCTGCCTCTGGTGGTTAGTTGGCAGGCTGGGGTTTTATGGCCCCAGAGCCAGTGATCCACAAAGACTTAAAAAGGGAGAGATGAAAAATAAGAGGAGGGGAAGATTGAGTTCACACTCAACCTGTTCCAAGTTGACCCAAATCAGAACATGGCCTCCAGCTACTGAAAAGATACTTTTAAAAGAATTTGTGTTATCTATGAGACACTTGGCTCCTAAACTGCATTATGTACTCCAATAGTTCAGGGTCCTTGCTTAGAATCAAACTGATTTTACAGGAAATTAGAAGTCATCTGTTCAGGGAGGAAATGAGAGGGACTTGCTCATTTTTCCTGGAGGTCTACTCCTTTCTTGGCAGTGAAAGCATGCTGTGAGCACCCCTTCCCTCTCTTGGAATACACCACAGAGAAAACAGGACCAGTTTCAGGGCCACGTGCTCTGGGAAACTTTTTCTTTTGATGTTCTGCATGTTAGGAGAGGAGCCAAGAATTGCTGGGGTTTGCATTTCTTTATAGGGGGAGGTACCTGTGTATCTCTCTTTTCTTTTTTCTGAGACAGGGTTTCACTGTTGCTCAGGCTGATGTGGAGTGGAGTGGTCATGGCTCACTGCAGCCTTGACTTCCTGAGCTCAAGTGATCCTCCCACCTCAGCCTCCCAAGTATCTGGGACTACAGGTGCGTGCCACCATGCTTCACTAATTTTTGTATTTTTGATAGAGATGGGGTCTCACTATGTTGGCCAGGCTGGTCTTGAACTCCTGGACTCAAGCAATCCTCCTGCTTTGGCCTCCCAAAGTGCCAGGATTACAGGCATAAGCCACTGTGCCTGGCTCATAACCCTTTCTTTCCACTAGCAGTGAATCCTCAATGTTCCACTGGGGGCCAAGGGTGTCACTATCTCAAATGCCTGCAAAAGCCAGGGGGAAGCAGGGCCAAGAAGAGTGAAACGGCCCCTCTTAAGATCCCAGTGAGTGCTGGAGGGGACACACGGAGACCCACACTCAGCTTTCACAATCCTGCCAGTTCAGAAAAATTCCTAGTTGCCAGATCTCATGGTTTTCCAAAAGATATTGGAAATCCAGATTTTTTTAAAGGAGAAATCTCTTCATTTTTAAGTTGATAAATAGTAAAGATTTTAAATACCTAGTATGACCTAAACAAAAAAGACTTGCAAACTACCACTTGCAACATGTGAGTAGGTTTTGTGTTTGAAATGCCTCAGCCTCCGATGGACCATTAGTGCAATAAGCAGCAGCCAGTGCTAGTGAGAAATGTTTTGCTGCATTAAATGTCTTAAGAGGGGACGAGAGGTCACCAAGGACTGAGTTTCCCTCTCCCAAATCCTGAGGGTCTGCCATCCAAGCAGCCCTAGGCAGGACTGGCCAGGCTCATCTGAACAAGTGGCTCAGCCACCTTATGTGCTTTACATACAGTCCAGCACCTCTCCAGATGGCCAGAGCCCAGGTGGCCAGGACACTGCTCCACAGCTTGGTTATCCCCATAGGAGCACAGACATCACATCACCCTGGTCCAGCTGTGGAGTTTTTCTCCTCATCCTTTCCCTGCCTGATGGGGCACAGGGGTGGAGGCTAAAAGAGATGAAGGATCTGTTCTTGTCATCTCATCATCAGCCTCCCCTGTCACTACACATCTCAGTCCAGATACCAGATGAGGCCCAGACACCATCGTCTCTGTTGCTGAACTCAAGTTCCAGGAAGAGTAGCTTATCCTTTCTGTGTGTCTGTATCCCTGTGTCTCTCTCTCCTTTCCTTCCCAGACCCCTCTCCTGCACACGTTGATTTTAGGAACAAATTCCATGGCCCACCTCGCTTGTGACTGCCTCTCCCTACAAGGGCTGACCCATGGCACCATCTTGGTAGATGGCATCAGGTGCCTTCACTGCAGAGAGTAAGCCAGGAGGCCCCCTGGGGCTCGTGTTAGCAACTATGCTAGTTGTGTTGATCATTCCACAGGGGGAACCAGGACAGGAACCCAGGCAGCCAAATACCAAAGGCCACGATGGGTTTAAGAGATCTAAGGCCGGGTGCAGTGGCTCATGCCTGTAATCCCAGCACTTTGGAGGCTGAGGTAGGAGAATCATTTGAGGTCAGGAGTTCGAGACCAGCCTGGACAACATGGTGAAACTCCATCTCTACTAAAATAAAAAAAAAAAAAAAATTAGCCAGTTATGGTGGTGCACACCTGTAATCCCAGCTACTTGGGAGGCTGAGGCAGGAGAATCGTTTGAACCCAGGAGGAAGAAGTTGCAGTGAGCAGAGATTGCGCCACTGCACTCCAGCCTGGGTGATGGAGTGAGACTCCTTCTCCGAAAAAGGAAAAAAAAAAAAAAAAGAGATCTGAACTTCAGCAGCCGTTAGGCCCAGGTACCCATGTTCTGTCATGTGAACATGACAGAAGCTCCTAGCAAAGGCTCTACATACTGACTTAGGGTCTCTATTATCAAGGTCTGAATGCCTGAGGGCAGCTGTGGGTTCCACATGAGGACCTTACCTCTGAGGTGTAGTCTGCGAGGACCCAAGGGAACACTGGGTACTGCATGTAGTCATTGCAGGTTCTCCCAGCCGCGGTGTTGAGGTACATGAGATACTCAAAATTGCTGATGTCCCTTTTCTACCAGAAGAGACAGAAAGGGGATAAACCAAACACATTTGATGCTCCCGCAAGGCCAGGGGTCCCACCCTCAGGCCTCATCAGCAGGCCCTGGCTCTGTGAGTGAGGACAGGCAGCCAGCCCCTCGGTCACTTTGTGCACATCTCATGCATGAACCAGCACCAACTCAGGGACCCACACACAAATTTCAGTATGAACAGAGGCAAGTATATTCGGGAAGCAAAGTCAGCAAGGAAAAAAAACCCAATGCAGTTCAGCATCCAATGCCAAGGATAAGACATGCTTTGGTGTTAACGGTTGGATGCAGTACTCAGAAGTTGACCAAAAGCATAGCACAAATGCTGGGGGTGAACTGACTGCTGACCTACTGATGGTTAGAAAATAAGCAGAGGGGTCATGGCAGTCCCAGAGACAGAGGCCCTCACTCCTGGGCTTGATGGTCTGGCTTCCTCTGGGACTTTGGGAACTGCCTATTCCCTGTCCCTGCCTGTTGGGGTGATGCTCACTCTTAAGGGCCCTCTGCCTCCAGATGAACAGTCGCAAATGGAGACAGGGTCCGTATTGGGAATAAAATCCACCAAGGCCGCTGAATGAGTGAGCAATCCAACATAGTCATCATCTCTGACGTGGGGCCTGTATGCTCAGGGGCTCTCCCTTCCTCAGTCTGCCCCTTGGGAGAGGATTTTGGACCTGAGTGACTAAGACCTACTTTCTCATTGTCCCCCAATCTCTACAACTGCCTCTCTTAGGGTCTCTTCCTTTCTTTGAGATCCCTGGGCTGAATGTCAACTTGTCCAGGCTGGGAGCCACATGTGTCTTCCAGGAACAAGAATTGACACCCATGCCCCGGCCCCTATGTGGCTGTATACATGTGTATCTTCACAAATGGGGTGTGTGCACCCACTGGGAGGCATCCACAGTGTACAGGTACGTGCGCGCACACACATGCACGTGCATTCCCCAGCTCTGACTCCAATGTGCAAGATTTGTCCTCCATCACCGAGATTTGGTCAGGGAAATATCTGAGACATTTTGGTAAATTAGAAAAATAAGATCCCGGCCAGGCACGGTGGCTCACGCCTGTAATCCCAGCACTTTGGGTGGCTGAGGCAGGTGGATCACCTGAGGTCAGGAGTTCAAGACCAGCCTGGCCAACATGGTAAAACCCTGTCTCTAATAAAAATACAAAAATGTACTGGGCCTGGTGGCGGGTGCCTGTAATCCCAGCTACTTGGGAGGCTGAGGCAGGAGAATCACCTGAACCGAGGAGACAGAGGTTGTCGTGAGCTGAGATCACGCCACTGCCCTCCAGCTTGGGCAACAAGAGTGAAACTCCATCTCAAAAAAAATAAAAAATAAATAATAAATAATAAGATCCCTTCTTGGTTGATCCACACACTTCCTCTCCATCGCTGGGGCCTGGGCCATTCTCTGGTTTGCATTCCCAGAGGGCTTCCCTCTGGAGGAGCCACTGTACCTGCCACTTCTGCAGCATCGTCCTGTCGGAGCCGGGGTATCTCCTGTGGGACAGAAAACCATGGTGGTGACCAAATATACCAAGGTTAGAACACAAACAGGGGAGAGGTGGGGCTTGCCTGGGCTTCGTGGGGCCAGGGTGTTGAGGAAAGCTGCAGACTTTCCACATCCCACAGCGGCTCTCAGTGGGCAGTACAGGGAAACTGTTGTCCAGCTCTTCCTGGCCCACCCCGGCCTGCTGAAGGTTAGGTTCTTGCAGTCAGTGTCCCTCCGCTGTGATACCAGAACAAGCTGCTGCCTCAAGAATTCCAGGGGACATGCAGCCTCAGACTTGGGGGCCTCCTTCACAACCCACACAGAATTCCCGTGCCACATCTTGGCCTTCTTTGTCCCTGCCCTGACCCCCTCTTTTGCTTGTGGATAAAATGTAAACAACACGGAAGGCCATGAGATATGACCTAAGAGTCTCCCAAGAAGTGTCCACAGTCACCAGTTTCTAGTGTATGTTCCAGAAAATGTTTTACCCATATGCCTGCCTATATGCCTACATAGCTTTTTTTTGTTTGTTTCTAAAAAGCTTCAATCATACATGGGATCACATCGTACACCCGGTTCTCCACCCAGCCTCCCTTGTGCTGCAGCAGCCCTGGAGACCGGCTCACACTGCCCTTTCGCATTCATCTCTGTAGTTGCGGGGCAGTTTTGCACAGCTGGATCCTAACTGATTCACCGCCCCCGTGACAGGCTTTGTTCTCACAACTGACATTTCCAGGAGCGCCTTTTGGCACATGTCTCTGGGTACTTTTGTGAGTGTATCCACGAGAGGTTTCTAGCTGTGGTGCCACTAGGTTAAAAAGTGTGAGTATTTACCATTTTGCTACCTATGGCCAAATGGTTCCTTTAAAAGACCATACTAATGTACATGGCTAAAATTAAGACTTACATATCAAACCAATGAAGGCCCATTGTGGACTGCCCTGGTAGGAAAAAGGGTAACAAAAGGCAATATTGGGGAGGGTGTGGGAGGAGCCCTCCTCCTCCACCCGAAACGTCTCTTCTGTTCGGCAGGGATTATAGAGCCCGGCTCCTCAGCCTCCAAGGTGCCCCTCTGCTCCTTTTCCAGCCGTTTCTTCCCCAACTCCATGAGACTCTCTTCTACCCCGAAGACTATGTCTTTGCTCAAGATGCTCCACCACACCAAGCCAAATCATATCCCTTGGCTCCATCCATCTCCTCTGCCACAGTTCTATTCAGGTGCCCGCAGACATCTGAATGCCCACAGACCCAGTCCCCACATACGCTCTGCTCCACTTGCATGGTCTGTGTCAGGACCCTGCCGGGCTCAGTCTGGACAAGGCCTGGCTGCCCGTGTTTCCCAGAGGGACAGTGCCGCTTCACCTTCCCATCGTAGCCCCACTGTCACATCTTCTGTCCCGGGCTCTCCAGCCCTCTGCATTCAATTCTTTATTTGGCAGATCTTCCATAAGCAGAAAGTAACCCCCAGGCTGGGATTTACCTCTTCATCCCTAATAGAGAAGTCATCTATTTGGGCCATGTATCCAGGCAAGCAACACCCAACAATAAGCAGAGGCAAAACGTGCTCCAATGTACTGCTTTAGCTTGCAAAGCATCAAGTGAAGATTTGGTTCTCCTGTTGTGTCTGTGACTCTGCCACCCACCCAATTCTGGAGGGGTAGGCTGCTCTTAAGGCTATAGGCAAGGGCAGAGCCCAAGCTGGAGACAGTGAGGGTCATCACCTTGAAAAGGACCTGTGCTGAGCCCTCCAGAGCCATGAGCATGTGGAGTTGGCATGCCACAGCCTGCTGATCTAGCTACTCTGTTTTATAAGTTGACAGGGGAGTGAGGACAGAGGAGTGAAAGCAGGGGAGCTAAATGTGCCTGTTAGGATCCAGGAAATGAGATTCAGTTTCTGCTTTCCTCCCTTTCAGACAGGGTTCTAGAATTTTGCCTGTGGTCATTTGTGATGTTACTATCAGGTGGAATGGTATACAGAAGAAAAAGGCATTTCACCATCCCACTCCTCATTTCATTGGCTATCAGCTCCAAGGAAGTTCCATTATTTCTGGTACTGTCAGAGAAAGACGCCATTACCAGCAGTTCCAGGACACCTAACCAAAGGTGAGTTCTATTTTTTTTTAATATTGTTTTAAAATCATATTAATCTGAAGGCGGCTACAGAACTCTCAAAATGATCTATGTGAATTTTATTGGTAACTGGTGATTAGTTGAAAGTATTGCTTTAAGAGTTAATAAACTGCATCGTCCATCATCCATCATTATCATGTAAGTTTTAGATTAAACAAGATGTTGCAAATGGCTCTTGGCTTTCTAATGTGCTCTTGAGATCTGTGGGAGGCAGCCTGAGAAAGAGCTCTGGCTGTGAAGTCAGGGATACCTGGATCTAAATTCTACCTCCACCACTTAAATGGGGGGCCCCGAGCAAGACAGCAAGCCTCTCTGATCTGCCATATCATCCTTGCAACACACTGGCCACACTGGTCACACAGGGGCATGGGAGAGCCAGTGAGACCATGGGTCTGGAGAAGGCTAGCATTGGTGTGGGCACGGAGCTGCTCAACAAGCATGGTCCTAGCTATGCTGACATTGTTCAGGAGCAGGGAAGATTCTTTTCTACTCTGGGAGGAAGGAGAGTGTGGTGGCAGAGTGGGGCCTGCTTCTGGTCAAGACCTGCTTGGTTCTGCCAGTCCCGCTCTGGGTGAGCTTAGGATTGTGCGACCTGGGAACCTGTGCACCTGCTCGTTCAGCCCAGCAAACACAATCCTCAGGGTTTGCTGGGGGCCTGCACTGAGCTTCAGGACAAGACTGGGGCCTGTGGGCAACTTGGGGTGGAGCAGAGAAGAACAGAAAAACTCGAACGAAGCCAGTGAGGATTGTGGCGGTTACCCGGCCTGGCCTTATTGGGTTTAGCACGGGCGGACATACAGAGGACATCACATCAACCCCTTTACTCCCTTCCCACCCAGGACAGGTGTCCACCTCTACTGGATGACTTCAAAGATGGAAAGATTATCTCTGAATCAGGACATCGTGGGTAGTTCAAGTTTTTCCTTATTTCCAGGGGTCATTTACACCCATCCTGCTTCATTTTTAACCAAATCTCTGTCCTTTACCCCCTAGAGGAGTTTCAGAAGCTTGAGCACTAATGCCAGGTGGCCTAGGGCCTTCCCTACCCCATGCTGCACAGCATCAGTACCTTGAGTTGCCTCATAGTCCTGCTTTGACTCTTCTCCCTTGGGCCAGCTCCACCCTACCCTGAAACCAGGTCCCCAGAGTAGGTGGCAGAGAGAAGAGAGCCAGACACACGTTCCAAGAGCTCATCCTCCATCGGGGGCTGGCAGAACCGCCTGCGGCTGGGCCTCCGGATATGGTGGGTTAGCCCCCAGACCAAAGGCTCTCAGCCGAGGGACTCATCTGGCTAAAGGCTGCACCCTCTCAGCCCTGGAAGGAGACTGGGGTCTTTGCCCATCCTCTTCTTCACTTGGCACTGGGAGGCTAGGTGTAGCCCTAACATGGCAGACATCTACAGAGGGCCTGTAGGTTAACCTGGGCCCCCGAGCTAATGCAGACACATCTCAAAATCCTGCTGCCTCTCCAAATTATCCCATGTGTTGCCTATTTGCAAAAACAGTTTTGAGGACATGGTAAAATGGGTTAGTGAGTGACTGAGGGATTTGATTCTTGAGTTAAGAAGCACTAGGCATACACAAGCCACAATGAGAAGAAAAATCACTTATCTGGGCAAGCTGGAAACACAGGCCTGCTGAAGGGTATGGGCTATTTCTCAGGACAGGAGAAAATAGTCTTGCTTAGCCATTGCCAGGGGAGGCTCCCTGTGTAGGGAATGTGTGAGCTGGGGAGATGTTGGGGGCAGAGTGTGGCAAGGGCAGAGCTGTTCAGTGAGAAGCCAAACACACTCCCTCTCTCCCCATTTATTTCTCCTAAGAAGCAAATCTGTATCAACCTGGACTCTACTTTTCAGACCCAGGTAGGGCATTAGAAATCCATGCAGAGACAGATGTACCCTTTCAAACCAGAGACACCCTGCTGGACTAACAGCTCCTTAAACCTCTCTGTCCTATCACTCTTCATTTCCCTAACATGTGGAAATTCTGCATACAGTTCTAGACCTAATAATAACACTTAATTGTTTAACCTGTTAAAAAGTGTGAAGACTTTTTGCCTATTGTCTAATTTCCACAAAGGCCCAACGAATTTACCATGATTTCCATTAACAGACGACGATATGGAGGTGTGGGGCAAGGAGGTGGTGTACAGGCCAGGGAGGTGTAAAATTCATTGTTGGTGTCTACCCTCGGCCTGGCACAGAGCAGCCGGCATAAACACCGATACACTGACTGTTCAGAGCACCTGCCAGGATCAGACCTTGCTCCAGGGCCCTGACACTGAAGAAAACAAATGCAAACAAACAAAAATCTTCATCCTAGTGTATGAAAAGCCAGCTACCTGACAAACTAATCAGTGGCATATATTTGGCAGCATGACATTAAAAAATGAGCATTTGTAAATTGACCAGATTGTTATTGTACAACCATGCCATAATATGAGGCTGTATATACGTTAAAAATCTGAAAGTTGGCTGGGCACAGTGGCTCACGCCTGTAATCCCAGCACTTTGGGAGGCCGAGGTGGGCGGATCACCTGAGATCAGGAGTTCGAGACTAGCCTAGCCAACATGGCAAAACCCCATCTCTACTAAAAATACAAATATTAGCCAGGCGTGGTGGTGGGCGCCTGTAATCCCAGCTACTCAAACCTGGGAAGTGAAGGTTGCAGTGAGTCAAGATCGTGCCACTGCACTCCAGCCTAGGTGTCAAGAGTGAGACTATGTCTCAAAAAAAAAAAAAAAAAAAAAAAAACCCTAAATTTTGATATAAACAAAGTTACTGCAGTTGCCAAAATTATGGAGTCCTTTTAATTTTCGGTTTTGTTTTTTCTTTTTTTCTTTTTTTTGAGATGGAGTCGTCACTCTGTTTGCCCAGGCTGGAGGTGACTCAGTCGGGCCGGGATTTCAGCTTCACTGCAACTTCCGTCTCCCGGGTTCAAGCAATTCTCCTGCATCAGCTTCCCAAGTAACTGGGACTACAGGTACGTGCCACCACGCACGACTAATGTTTTTGTATTTTTAGAGAGACAGGGTTTCACTGTGTTAGCCAGGATGGTCTCGATCTCCTGACCTCATGATCCACCCCCCTTGGCCTCCCAAAGTGCTGAAATTACAGGTATGAGCCACCACGCCCGGTCTGAGTGCTTTTAATTTTCATAAGGTTTTACGTACCTATATTTTAAAATGTATTTATCTTGTATATTTTCCTCTTTCAAATATTGATTTTATTCTTAGGTGCTTTATGATTTTTATATTATTTAATTTCAATTTTAAATTATGTATTATATATTCTAATTAGAAGTATACTAGGTAGTAGAATTTGAGGTAATTTTAAATTTTCTAGTCATCTTCATTCAGAAATTTATTTAAATCCATTTGCTGTCTAAATTAAATTATGTATTTTATTTTTTGGACTTAAAACATAATATGGTGATGGTTATGTATTCAAAAATGTTATAGTTAGCATTCATTTAATGATCTGTTTTGTTTTCATTTCTAAATTGAAGTCATTTTATTTTGCTTTTTTTTGTACTTTCCAGAATTTTTACTACTTAAATTTAATTTTGGATTCGAAATTACTTATTTCACTTATTTGCTAATTAATTTATTTTCTAATTTATGACTAGGTGGAAAAAATTAGAGCATTTTAATCTCTTATTTCTGCATATACATTTTCTAATTTTTCTTCAATGCTTTATCATCTGCATGATAATTTTCATACTTAATTTGTTTTCCTCATTTTCTCAATTTCTGGAAATTTAATGTAACAAAAAAAAAAACTGAAAAAAAAAAAGACCATAGATGCACAAATAGATAATTGCAGCCTTATTCACGATAATGCCAGGCTGGAAACAGCAGGAAAAGCAAAGCACAAGGCTCACTGCTGTATGTTCATTCAGGATGCAGATTTCAGAAACTACACACCAGCATTTAATGACATACAATCAAGTGAGAGAATATGATTACAGGGCTGTATGATTTTATGAGTACTATAGCTACTCTGATTTAACAGTGGCAAAAGGGTGCAAAGAGAAACAAAAAAGTAAGAAATAATTAAATTCAAATAAATAGATGAAAGATAGCCCTCTCAAAAACCAAAGAGCAGAAAAAAAAAATACTTGCACAAATTCAAAGAAAGGGGAGTGATGTTTCATGAATGCTATTAAAGTGAGATATGTGTCTCTTTCAAGAGAAATGTGTGGCTTCTTCCCTGTGTAGCCACATCCGCCTGGCCGTTGCCATGGACAGGGGCTCTGCCTTGATCCTCTCTCCCACTGACTGCTGGGTGAACCCGAGGAAAAGCCCAACTGCAGGAATCACAGCGGGTGAGCCCTGGGGTTCCCTCCTTGTGGCAGGTAAGCCAGCCTGTTGGGAAATTTGAGTGTCTTAGAGACCGTTTCAGCCTTGTGTCCTCTCACTTTGCAGGCTGGTGTCAAGACTGCTAATGACCTCCAGGTCCCAAGTCTCTTGTTGCTTGGTGACAAAGTTTCACAGTTGAGAAGGAGAAGCTGGGACTAGCAGGGTAAGTTTTGCTCGAGTGTTGGCCCTGCACTTATCAATTTACTTTAACTGTGCCAAAAAACTGCTTGGATCTCTACTTTTTCTCTTTCTCCCCTTCTTCGAGTAAGCAGCTTTGGAAATGCCTGTGCTCCGAGTATGCTTTATTTACAAAGCCCAGACACCACCTAATGCATTATTTAGGAGAGAAGGAAGCTTGCCTGAGCCCCAGCCAGGAAGGGCAGCTAGCTGGGGCACAGTGGGCGTCCTCGGAGGCCAGGGCACAGGCGAGCCTGGGAAGGCAGGTGTGCGAGTCAGTGGCGCTTTGGGGATCATTTGGGTATCCTGTCTCCAATGTCTGGGTCTCCGTGGTGTTTTTGCTGCTCTACAGGCAGGTGGAGACGTGTTTGAACTGTTTGCTTTCACCCGACCAGTCACCCCTCTAAGGAAACTAAACTGTGACTGCTTGTTCGTTCACGAGGGTCCAGCCCAGCGGAACAAATCTGATTATTGTTTACTGTAATGGGGTTTGGAGAGCAATCCGTGTTTTAAGAAGTCTAGTGGTAAACTTTTTCTACAAGTTATCCTGAACACTAGAACCCACTAATAAGTGGTTAAGCCCTAGGCTGAGCTGGGCCTTGCAAAGGGGGATTCTTCATGGGACACACGGGAACACACTCCTCAAGTCCCAACTTTTATGACAGGTATAGTGGGAAAAGACAGACCCTCTACTTAGAGTCTTTGTGACTCCACACAAGTTTCTCAGCCTCTCTGAGCCTCAATTGCTGTATCCCTCCAGTGGAGATGAAAATCGACATGCCAGGCAGTTGTGACTCAATTGTAATGTCTATAAAATGCCTGGTCTGTAGTGGGTGGTCCACAGAATCCATACAAAGGGAGGAACCTCATTTTAATGTGCTAAAAATTAGATAGTGTCTTTGCTTTGCAAAGGGTCCAGCACATAATAAATTCCCCATGCATTTATCAACAACATGGATGCTATGTGAACCAAGTATGAAATAACACTCCCAGCCAATGAAATGGGGACTCAGAAAGGTTAAGAAACTTGTGCAAAGTCACACGTCTAGGAGGACAGGGCTGTGACAGGCCTGTAAGCTGGAGAGATCACATGCCTTCTGGGTTTGAGCCTCAGCCTCCAGGGGAGATGGGAGGCACTGAGACAGCTTCTGTCCACCCTGCAGGGCCCCAAGCCCTGTGGTTGTCTGCAGATTGGTTTGTTAGTGCCTGGTGCTTGGTGCCTCCAGCTTCCGCTTGGGCCTCCAATGGTCTCTCACTGTTGCCCAGCATCAAGGGTGACTTCAGGCCCTTTCTCCCTTCCTATCAGTGGAGAGATAAGAGAGTGAAAGCTAGGTGATGTTTCCAGGCCCCTGAAACCCCAGAACACAAGGTGTGCAACTGAACCACGCCCACGTGTACTCTGCTGTCAGCCCCATTGCCAACTCTCAGCCCATTGCCAATGCAATTCACTGCCAATTTTTCAGTTTCTGAGCTCCCTACTGGTCTCATATAATGGAACTCATCTCAGCCCCTAGAACTGGGTCTAATAACACATGCATGCTTCTTTTTCGGGGAGGGATGAGCCATAAGGATGGGGCTTGACCTGACTAGGAAGAAAGTTTCCCACAGGATCTAGCTCAGCTCCTGCCAGCATCTGCAGGACATGATGAGTCAGGAGCTTCCTGGGCGGCCAAGAGAGCCATCCGACATTGTAAAGCCAAGCTTGCATGAAAAAGCCAGATGGCGGCTAAGTCCATGGGAAAGGGCACCAAAGAGATTCTGGCTCCAGTCGAGGCATGTGCCTTTGACTAGGCCCTGGGTGTTTCATCTGTGAAGTGGAATGACCAGATTAAATGAGATGACACACATGAGGTACTTAGACTTTGTGCTGAGCAAAAGGAAGAAAAAGATACAGGAAGTGCTAGGCCCCTCTAGCAGTTCCAGCCTGCTCTTGAGTTTTCTCTTTGTCTGGTCCACATATACAATCTAGAAGAATGTTCCATCTACTCTGCTTCCACCACAGAGCCTGGATCCATATGGTTCCTCCTCCGCCATGCTCCTCAGCACAGACTCCCATCCTCTCTTGCCTGCAGCTGGCCTGTCTCCATCACTCTCCTTCCCTGCCTCTGCTGCTTCCCTACAGCCAAAGTCATCCTTCTAGAGGGCCTTATGTTGTCCCCTACCCATGAGCACATGGCCCACCTTGCGCTGCCCCTGCCCAGCTCTTCGCCTTCCCCTCCTTGACCTCCAGCTTACACCCTCTTCCTGTCAATTCTTTCCAAAATCCTTCAGTGTGGCTTCTTCTTAGTATTCTAGTTACAGCTCAGATGTCACCTTCTCAGAAAGGACCTCCTCACCCACCTCAGTCTGAGTTAGCAACATCCCCACCAATATGCCCTGTCTGACTTCGGCATTCTCTGTCACATCATCAGCTATTATTATTTGCAGAGCATTTACACCAACTGCAATGCTCCTTGTTTTTTTTTTCCTCTCTCTGCCTCTTTTTTTTCTCTGTCTCCCTCTTTTTTTTTGTTTTGCTTTATTTGCTGTCTCTTGAAACAGTAGCTTCATAACAAACACAAAGGTATAGCCTTGCTCACTGCATATCCACTGACCTGACCCATAGTACAACTCCAGTAGGAATTGCTGGACAGACAAATAAATGGGGAGACTGGACTCTAGCCAGCTCTAGAGATTAAAAGTGAGTATAGGGATAATTATATCTGTAAGTAGCTATTATTATATTTCTTTTTCTGTAATCACTAGTAATGTTATTATTAATAATTTGTCAGTGCTTGAAAGGTTGCAAAGATTTCATATTTGGGAATCAGCAAAGATTGTTCCCCAACTCCTCCATCTGAGATTCCTGACCAGTGGGGAGCGGCCCAGAGCAGCTGGTTTGAGGGAGGTGATGGAGACGGTGCAGTCTGGTGACTCCACCAGCATTCCCCACTAGCATCCACCTCTGGTGGTAGAAGCCAGATGACTGTTTATTGAGTGCTCACTGAACACTGGTCACCTAACATTTTTATCACCTCATTCGCTCTTCAAACAACGAGCAATTGACCAATCCATTTTGCAGAGCAATAAACTGGGCTCAGGCATGTTACGGGACTGAACCTGGGTTGGCAATGAAGGGGAGCGGGGCTCACTTCTATTTGCCTCACAGCTCCTATGCTCCCTGCAGCCTACCCACCTGCCTTTTCAAGCACAGCAGGAAAAAAAGGGATAGCTGGCATGACTAATGTGTGGGTGGCCATCCTATCTGGAAGCTGCCAGGATGCTGCCCTGTCCTGACCACATCATTCTCAGCTCTCCTGGCAATAGTTGTTATGTATGTTTGCACAAAGTCCTAAGGAAAGCTATCTCTCTTATTGGGGGCAATGCCAAGTGCTTCAGTCATGATTTCAAATAAACCTGATAAAGATTCAAGGAGGGAAAGGAAATCTGAATTTAGGAAAAGTTTCTGCAGAAGAAATTTAGGATTAGATGTTGCAGCATTTTCTGAAAGACAAGGGTCTTCCATGCAAGCACTGAGCCCAAACTACCCCTTTTCTCCACTAATCTGAAGCATTCTTTCAAAAAGTAGGCCAGTCCTCCCACAGTTCTTCACCTCTGGTTGGAGGTTGCAGGGAGAAAGTACACCTTCTGCTTGACGTTTCCTCCCTACATTGCACCATAATACGGGCCACCTGCTCATAGGAGGCCACGTGTTGTTTATAGCACAGCCCTCCGTGGCTGGCTGAGGGTGGGCTGTCCCTGATAGAGTATCTCTGGAGGGAAACAGGAACAGCTGCCCTGGGCTGCCTGCCCCTCCCCCACTCTCAGTGGCCACCTCTTGCATTCCACTCTGTGACAGCATAAAGTGCCCACAGATGACCTAGGACAGCACTGGCTGCCTCAGGCAACCAGACTGTCAACCTGCTGCCCAATTCCTGTGTCTGCAGAGGTAGGGACACCTCTCAGGTATACTTTATCTGCAACTGCCCCAGGCAAATCCAGCTCCAGTGAATAACCCCCACCACCACCCTGTCCTCTCCTGAATTCAGGTAATAGGAAAGGAAACAGAATCGTGTGTGTGTGTGTGTGTGTGTGTGTGTGTGTGTTTGGAGTGTGAGTGTGCGTGCATGTGTGTGAATATGTGTTTGTAACTTTCTTTTCTGGTTAGAAACAGATTTTATATCTGTTGCAGAGCATTTAAAAACTATGTAGACGTATAAGAAGAAAAGTAAAAAGAGCCCAGGACCATCACCTCCAGAGAGCAGCGTTGCTGATACTCTTGGAGCTCTTTCTCTCCTCTTTTCTGGGTGTGGGGGTGCATGTGCGCCGGAGAACACAGGGCTCACATGGACAGATGTTTTTTCATTAACATGACATCTTCAGCATTTTGCCTTTTGACACTTTTGGAAAATAATGTTTTGTTTTGTTTTAGTTTCTGTTTATTATTTATTTCATTCCATGATTACACGGTAATTATTTCATCACTTGTCTATTGTTAGATATTTGGGTTGTTTCTAATTTTTTTTACTATTTTAAATGGCACCATCATAAGCATGTTTCTATCAAAAGTCTTATTCTTATTTCCTGAAGGGAGATTCTTAGAAGTGTCCTCTATGTGTTCTCCATAGCCTGGTCCCACCTCTTCTCAGAGTACCAGCCGTTTCCTTGCTTCATCTCGTCTCTTTGCCTTGGCTCCCATGCTTCTCCCCTTGGCCTAACCCAGTTAAGGTGGCTTCAAGTGCGATGCTACTGACCACTCTCCAGCCCCCTAGTGCACTTGTTCTCATGGTCAAACAATCCATCATGCCATCATCTGCGTCTATTTGGAAAGCATCCCTGTCTCCAAGAGAGTACACACTCAGTGACCAACGAATATTTTGTGTGCAAATGACAACCTGAGTTTTCCCGAGGGACCTCTCCCTTAAAACGTATTCATGTACTGGAACTCCTTTAACAGTACATGTAAAAACAGTGAGTCAAGTTGATTATGCAGCAGCTGACTCTCAG